GAAAAAAAAAAAAAAAAAAAAAAGATTTGGTCTGGAGGTGGGGACAATTAAAAATAGGGTTTTAGGGGGGCATTAATTAAAAGCGAGTACAGAAAATGAGAGGTGCCAAAAAGATTGCCATATATGCGCCTTCATTTTGACACACTGCCACATTATTGCATTGGAAAATGTATAATTATTTTTAAATTTTAGAATTCACTTCACTGCCTCTTATAAACAATCGGGTGTCAGTGGGTGTAAAGAAAGGAAAGATACAGAGGAGAGGGTACGACGTAGCAGAGAGTAAGGGCCCCACTTTTAACACAAAATGCCCAAATTCCAAGTCGGTGGAGGCAGTAAAAAAATAGGGGAAATGGGTGGTGGGGTTAATTCCAAAAAAGAGAAAAACCGCCATAATTGAAGAGGATACAAACAGGGAATTTTTATTGTCCTTACCTGACACAAAATGTTTTCTTAATTAAAACAACAAACAATTTTTTTTACAAAAAAGTAAATTTTAATACATTCACATCCCCTCACACAAATTGTCCATTTCGAATCTAAAAGTTGATTCAATAGTAACATTATAATATTTATTAAAAAAAAAAAGTAGAGGCTCCACGGAACAGAAGCAGACATCACGACGCCTACATCGTCTGCCCAAAATCCAAAACATGAGAGAGAAAACACAAGCAGGAAAAAGACATACACACCCTTCCCTTTTTTTCTTTTCTTAATTTTCTCTCTCCGTGTCTCTGTGAAGTTGGAAGTCTAAATAATGACATTTGACAGAGACGACTGAAGTCGGACATATTCAAAGGTTGTTTTTATATGTTTGTGGAGTGGATGAACCAGATTCCCATCTTCAATTTCCTTCTTTATTTCTTTATTATTTTATTAATAAATAAAGAAAAAGGAAAAAAAGAGTGAGAGAGAGAACGAAATCTGGTGATCATACTGGGTTGCGAGTGACTCAACCCCCACATGAAATAGTCCCAACATCACGAAATTTCCCTTCATGTCCTGACAAAGTAAAGTGTGAGATGGGGTAATAATGGAGCTACAGCAACACCCAGCAAGCACAAAAAGCAGAAAAGAAAAGAAAAAAAAACGGTTCATTCTTCGGTCCACCCCCTACTTTCTCTAAACCTTTATTCCAGTTTTACAATAAAGTTGAGTCAGTGTTATCAAATTATGTACTTTCCCCACTTTATATTTACTTAATTAATAACTTTATAATTTCCTTCCATCCATTTTTTTTAATTTTTTCACTGATGTGCCCATTGTGGACAGAATAAAACATCACACCCCATCCCTTTTGTATTCATAATTAAAGTGTAAAGAAACGTATACGAATTCATGCCCCTCTCACTGTTCACTTCCCAGCTTATATAAAGTGTTTAAATTTTAAATAATTCAAAATCTGAATACAACCAGGATCAGAGAGGGAAAATAAATTAATGATTAGAGAAACAGAAATGGGGACAGGATTCGAACCGTTGAGCGCAGGATTAGCTGTGTGTGTAATTGAGAAAGCAAGATGCTGGTTCTATGGGATTTTATTTTAATTTATCATTATCAGATTAGACGTTTTTTTTTTCCTTTTTTCTTTTTTTAGGACAGATTATTTTGGTTGCCGTATGTCAATTCCAAACATATATATTAATTATATAATATATAGTCTGCGGACAGAAACGTAGTTGCCTCGAAGCTAAGAAGCTTTCATGAAATTATATCGGTTAGTTGAGTTGTCCTATATTTTCCACATTTTTTTAAAATTAATTATTTGTTTAATTGCGAGATTTCAATACTAATACTAATAATAATAATTAATGAAACTAGCTTCATGCCACCCTCTTCCTCTCCCTCTATCTATTCAATTTAATTCCCTGTACACATACCTTTAACCATCCATTTTTATTTCATAAACATTTTACATCATTTTTTTTATGCATTTTGCTTACTCCTTTAATTTCTTGGGTTCCTATCCGGAGGTGACTTCCTCCACACTTTTCATACGTAACCGTGACATACAGTGACTATGTCATCAAACTTAGCGTAAAGGGTAAGTCTAGCTGTCACTCCTTCCAATTATGCCATCGATGCCTGGAAATTAAGTTGACTAGCTTACTCGACGGTCATGGCGAGTGTCGTACAATCGTTTTGTAAGTTTTCAGTGTTGAGATTTGTTACTTTTAGTTCTGTACTCGTATTGGTTACTTAGTTTATTATGCCATATTTGACATCGATAGTTTAGTTAAAATATTGAATTCATAATTCTTAGGATTATATTAAATATATAATAGGTCTCTCTAACATGTTTGGCAACTAAAACGAACCTTACTTTATATTTAAGTTTTTTCTTGCCTATTTGGTAGGCAAAACCGTGCGGTTGTCGCTTACTTGTGTTGAGCAAAAAAGCAAGAAAAGTAATGTCGTCGATTAGTTAGTCTATTAATGATACGAAACAAAATATACCAACTTTATCGAAGTTCGAGAGTCAAATTAGACATTTGAAAATATTAGGAAACAAACGGAGAAAAATTATATTCATACATTTGTTTCTTTTTCCACAATGAGGGAGAAAATTAAGAAAAATATTAAGGATAATATAAAGCTGATTAAGGAAGTAAAATTTCCAATGGGCTAGTATTACAACGGAGGTGCAGGGGAGAGAGAGTGTGAAGTGGCAGGCATGGAGATTAACCCGGGTGAGGGTGACGTGGCGGGTGGAAAAGTTACATGGGGCGTGGGGGTCTCCCACGGGAGAAGCGTGATTCATGAATCGCACTGCGCGCGAAACCAAACTTGGAAGAAGCAGCCAAGCACACCACCCGGGTACACCGTACTCTCCTCCCAACGGCCACTGACCCCTCCATCAGTGGGACCCACCCTTGGCACTTCCCACGTGGCGGCTTAGACTGAGGCCCTAGTGTCCATATGCTACGTGCCATATTCCTACCTTGTCAGTTATTTAAGTTACTTAAGAACCAGGATTAAGATAACCCAATGCATTAATCCCGGAAATGCCCCTCATCATTCCACTAATTTACGCCCTTCACCATTTATTATTATTATTATTATTATTATCATCATTATCATTAAGCAGGTAGAAGAGTCAAAACGCAACCCAACCTCGTTCACGTTCTCCTAACCGAATCCACAAATAGACAACTCCGAACCAAAATATAAAAAAAATAAAAAAATAAAATTAATTTATTCGTTTTCAATCACCTTTTTGTAAACAAGGCAACCCCTAAATAAACCCCACCATACGCCTTGCTTCCTTGATTGCGTTTGCATGTCCTCTCTCTCCTCCAATTTTCCCCATTCCTCTCTCTCCCCCCCTTAGGATAAGAATCCAGGATTGCGCTTCTGTTTTGCAACAATTTTCTCAACACAATCTCAGAGCTCTTCTGAAATTCTACTCTCTCTCTCTCTCTCTCTCTCAATCTCAATCTCATGGCTGTTGAAGCTCGCCATCTTAATCTCTTCCATCCTCAACTAATAGGAGGAAACAGGTATGTCTGACTATGAATCGATATCTATGTTAAACTTCTTGTCAATGTTGCTATTGTTTGCGACTCTAATGATGGCGATTGTGGATTCACAGAGAATTAATGAATCCTATTGAAGGAGATGCTAATTTGTATAACAGTCAGATGGGATATGGAGTTCCATTAGTATCAGGAACAACAACTACAGAGACTCTTCTTCCGGCTTACAATTCTGTGATCGTTGATTCCTCTGTTTCCCCCAAAACTGTTGCACCGTCCGCGGCTATCAAATCCGATAGCGGCCTTACCTTTAACTACAACAGCAACCTCTCTCTCCCAAGAAAGCGCTCTAGAGAATGTATGAATATCAACCCATTTGCTTCCTCCTATCCCTCTCCACCGACTTCCAAGTCTTGCGGATCGTTCTCCTTTCTTGGAGAAGACCTCTCGCTCCAGATCTATCAACAACAACTCGATATGGACCGTTTAATTTCTGAACACGTAAGCGTACAATTGTTGTGATTCCATTTGTGTTTTTGAATGAATGAATTCGTTTTGGATTTGGAACTGATAACTGATTTTGTTTTTGCAGTTGGAGAAGGT